CCCCCCCCCCCCCTGTATCACCAGCGTCTCTGGGCAAGTACCAGTGACTTTTGGTCCACGATTTATTTTAATCGCCATCTAGGAGCAAAATTAGTTTGAATCTTGACAGCAAAATTGACGGCAAAGGGAAAAAGCCTTCGGCGTTGATCAATCTTGTTTCTGAGATGCGCCCCAGATTCGACTTTCATTCAGAATCGTAGTGGCGTAATGAAAATGTTTGAGGCCTATACATCGCCTTGTAGAGGCCAGCGCTGTACAAGTCAGTGCTTTCTTGTTTCCGGTCGAGTTTGACGCCATTTGAGTGACCCATCGATGGCTTGGTTGGCCCAGGAGGATGTCGATCGGAAAGCTTGTGTAGTTCAACCGTATTCTTCAGGCTTTAAATACGAAGATGGCCAGGAAAACGATGCGAGTGACGAAGAAGGTATATTTCCAAAAATTTTCAATTCGGTACGGTAGCTATTTTGTGTAGTTCAACCGTATTCTTAAGGCTATGAAGACGAGGAAGTCCAGAAAGCCGACGCGAGTGAAGAAGAAGGTTTGTTTCCAAATTCGGTACGGTAGCTGTTACCGTGAAGGTGAGTCAGGAGCACCTGACGTAGAAGTCCGGATCGCACCATCACCTGAACATCTACTCTGCAAACACTCGGAATGGTTCCTTTATAAGTGAGAGAAGGCGGAGAGAAAGGGTAGAGACGGAATTTTTGGACATATTAAAGATTCAGTTCACGATAACTTTGGGGTATTTGGTTTCAGAGAAGTACTGTAAGCGATAGTCAAGAATAGTGCGAAAACGGTGGAGAAAACGCGGAAATCGGCGTTTTCAGCAAAGTATAAGGGCTCAAAAAAAAGTAAAATTAGGGGTTGGACGAGAGTGTGTCTACAGAAGTTTCATGGAAAGGGTAATTGGGCGAGCTGTTCAAATGCGCGCCATTGCATATAGCTGGCTGCAATACGCTGCCTGCCTGCCAGGTGTTGGTCCCGGCGCGAATGGTGCAACCTTTACAGCTTCTGCAACACTCAAAAATTCGTCTATTAGGTGTGTAAGTCCGCTAACCCCGTTCTAAGGCCCTTATTGCATCCATTACTGGCGTTTTTCGATCCGACAGCGTCCCTTGTTCTACTAATGAAGGTCACAGGAAGAAATCTCAGGAAGCATCCTCATCATGTAATGTGCCTTTAAGGATTAGAGGATGATACACTCACAAGCGAAGCGGATACTGAGGTATCCTCGACCACGGAAATGTATGAGGAAAAAACGGAAAAGTCTGGGGAAACCAGTGAAATATTTTACGAAACCACGGAAACGTCTGTGGAAAGCACGGAAACGTCTGGCGAAATCGCGGATGCTGAAAAAAAAGACGATGAGCAGGAAGAAGGTCCATTTGATCTTCTCTATCGGATGTCGGTACAGTAGATGTTTTGTGAGATAGTATAAGGAACTTTGAGTTTACAATCGTGAACATTGTAGCTCTCAAAATGATCGGTGGCCTTTTTTCAGCTAGTGGAAGTGGAATCCCTGAGAACTCTTCGACCACAGAAACACCTTTAATAGTGGGTAATGATGAAAGCGAGTCCAGTGGCCAAGAAGGTTCGTTCCCTTTCAGTATGGGTTGAGCGAAGTGCTGTAGGGAGCTCAGTGAGGGAGACTAAGGAAAAGGTAATGGAAATTCCCGAAAGGCAACACCAATGAATTTTTGTCAGCTGGTTGCTCCCTTTCTTGCAATCCCTCACCAATGCGAAAAAAAACATCCAAAGTGATTTTTTCAAGGTTGTCAAAGAATTCATGAGGGTGATGGGATCCGAAATGGACACACGCGAAGTCTAACAGAATCTTCAACTTCCCTTCTCACCTACATCCTCAATGGCGCTTCAAGAAACTCGAAGAACTGCAGAGCACTCATGCGAATTTATCTTCGAAATATAGCAGTGAAGTAAAATTCGAGTTCTGAGTAGATAAGGGAGCGGGAAAGAGGAGGGGGGGGGGGGGGGGGGGGGGGGGGNGGAGGGGGGAGGGGGTGAAAGGGTGGAACTGGACTCTAAGAAAGCGGTCACTAGTGATCCCATCCCTCCTTGAAAACTTAAGGCTATTTCTATTTACAGCTAATTGCTTCTGCACATCCTCAAAATAAAACTACTCTTAGACAATAACTTCCTAATCTTTTTTTCGCGGCTGGTCCCTTTACATCAAAAGCGATACAATTTCCAGCAAACAAAAGCCATATAGTGGTGGCACCACCTATTCCTGTCCCAGTGAAGAGAGAGGAAAGCTACAAAGAAGTTATAGTTGTCGGTATGTTTTAAAAGAAACTGTTGTGCGGTAGCTACAAAAATGGAAGGTCCGGGAGCACTTCCGGAACAATTGGAAATGTGTAGGAGACTGAAATTAAACACAAGAAGTGGTGATTCCTTTCAGATGATGACGATAGCTTCCCATTTTGGATTTTCATCGTCCTGATACCATTGGTGTTACTGCTGATAATTTCCATCGCATGTTTTGCCATAACGAAAAAATCCCTTGTGAGTTGAGCAAGTCTCCTCTCAAATAAACACGAGCGGCATCAAACACCACTAAGCAGGTCCTATCGAAAGTTCAGGTAGACTTAAGAGATCATAGATGTCACAAATTGATACCTACTCATCTTTGAAGAGATGAAACATGGGCCTTATGTTAGCTTAGCTCTGCCCTTGACCCCGTGCAGAGCTCCGCTTTGTCTCAAACTGGTCGACCTCCCCATCTTGGTCAATCTGCGTTTATCCAATGCAGATTTACCTACAGTTGGAGATGAAAAATGGCTGTAAAGAGGACGGGTCCGATGAATCTTTGCAATTAATGTATGTATGATGTATACCTTACCAAAGCGCTTTCAAGATGCTAAAAGTCCGGGTCGCCACTGGTTCCCCCACCCTATAAGTCTAAGCCCTCCATATAATCTTAGAGGTTGGAGGGCTGGATTGAACACGGGCCAACAAAGTGACTAATGGTTAAAAACTCAGTTACTGTCGTGAGGGAATGTTACACTTTCCAACAACTATTTGCTTTTTTTTNTTTTTTTTGGATGACTAGCTCATTCAGGTCCTACTCAAAATCGTAGCTCTATTTTGAACACATCTGATCTCAGAGAGACCTACGTGGATGCGCCGCTATCCTTCGACTGTATCGACCTTCCAGAAGACTATGTCAGCAGTTACCTGCCTTTGAGGCTGAAAGACTTGGTTGGCTTGAATAGGAGCACTGTTTGGGGTATAATTTCAACACCATCAGTGGGAGCTTGGAACGGCTTACTCCGTTATACTGCATGCCTACGTACTTTGCAATCACCCCCCTATAAAATCCAGCTTTGAAATCGAGTGAATGGGTATTTCGACAAACGTTTTCAGCAAATTTCCACATGGTTTTTTATTCTCTATTATTGCAGGATAGTGCTCTGAAAAAGAGAGATCAAATGCAGAAAAGTCAAGCCAGTCGAAAGGAAGCTGGCCAGGCATGTTCGGCTGTGGATGGGGATGTAATTTACAATAGCCATTTCTCTATCGTCTGATAGTTTCAATAATAGGTCTTTCATTACAGCCTATGGGTACGGATTACGCGGGCTTCGGTACAGAAGTGTACGTGATTGGAAATCATTGCTAAGCGTTTTTTTCATAGTCGCATTCACTATACGAACTTTAAAATTGAAGAAAATGTCTATCAGTTTCCTCTGAGCTCAATAGGCTGGCACACAAAAGGGCTCACCCTAATCCTAGCAAGCTTCACTGCACGTGATGTCTTTTCCCAATGGCTTTTGATTGTCTGCTATCTTCTCGTTCCCTACGACCCAAGCTAGGGGAATTGGGGAATTCGGGTGGGAACAACTCCATCCATACACTCTTCAGAAACGCTACTTTGAGCTGCTACTAGGAAGCTCAGCACCTTATTGGAACCTAATCTAGACAGGCATCAAACATTGGAAAGTTGGGAAAGGGGAGGGGAGGGGAGAGGAGAGGGTAGCATCTCCNCTTCATCCTCTCTTCCCCAAGTTTTCCACAAAAATAAAGTCTTCCGATGGAGGTTTGCTCAAGTGGTGTTGCCCCATGAAAAGCTCACAAGAGGCCCAAACTAGAATTAGATCGTTGTACAACAGAAGAAGCTTTAAAATCCGGGCCACAAAACCCATCAGAATATCATCCTTCAAGGGATACCCCATTGAGTAGTTTCTCTGCTCTGGAAAAATTTGGCCCCTGAACGGCCTAAATTTGATCCACTACGTAAACGAATGCTCCCATAAACGCTCCCTATCCTCAAGCCATTTCTATTCAGACGCAAACCCGTCAGGGAAGGCGGAATGGGTAGCATAATGCGCGATCCGGATGATGACCCAAGTGTTCGTCCTGAGGTATGTTCTCTAGTTATCTGACAAGGAGACAGTGCCCACCGTGAAGAAATGCTCCCATCAACTTTGACAGGAGTTTTATTATGAAGGGTCGTGCAAGGGCACAAGGGAGCAACTCGGCCCAACACAATTGGCCATTTTACAATCTATCCACCTTCAGATCTCAACTTATATACAGGTTTCTACTAGACTTTACCGCAGTTTTAAAGAACCTTGAAGTCTACCTCCTCGAACTTCGCCACTTCACCTATTAGACATTATCTTGAAATTAGATATAGGGTATGGTAAGGTATTGTTTACTCATATTTACCTCGAAAAACTGTGATCTGAAGCCTCCCAGGCCTGCTTGAGACAGCATCGCCATTTCAGCTCCCTCGCGGCTCCCTCTCAGGAAGGCATTACAGGAGCTCAAATACTCGTGGTCCACCGGAGTATTGATCATGTAGGGAGACTCGACACCTGTTTCGTTGCGAGAGATGAACATTTTGGAGATCTAACCGCCTTTGTTGCAAGAAATTAACTTTATAATGTAGGATAGCAGTTTGAAAAAAAAAGTAAGAGCTGTTCTCATTGTGGGCACTGTCTATTGAAAATTTCAAAAATTCCAAAAAAGCTCAAGTGTGTCTTTTCAAGAAGGCCCAAATAAGCAGAATGGTCTACGTGAATCAACACTGGAAAACTGTGGATAAGGTGAGTGACCTAATTTATAATTGAACTATTTTCAGGCCCTTGTTGTACCTGAGTTCATTGTGTGGCTCTGACTAAATAAAAAGACGTGACCACTCAGCATCCATCCCTCGAAGATGCACGGCTTCCATTTGGTTGCGGAAGTAATTGAACCACTCACTGAAAGCTTGGTTACCTTATTGGAACCCCCATCCACCGTACCCTTGCCATGACCTGTAAAAACACTTTTTTCGCTAGTAAAAAACCTAGCATCCTTGACAATTATAAGAAGACCAAATTTTATTGGGGGGACTTTTCTTCCAGTAGAAAGTATGAGAAAGGTAACTAGTACAGCCCTGCAACTTACATTTGTATCTGGGGGATCGCTATTGTTAGCCACAGTTCGCCTACTCGTTATCCGCCAAANNNNGGTATCAAACGCGATTGATTGGGGATGTCAAGGGTTGCTTGCACTACAGTTGTGCATTTATCCTTCAGAATTTTCGGAGAAATTCAGATTTTCCTACATCTAGCCTATCCTGAACGTTCGCTAGCCCTTCTTTACTGACCTCTCTTTCCCTTTTCCCTACATTCCAGACGTTTCTGGTCAGAGTAGAGACCTGTGATTACGGCTTCTCCCACATCCCTGCAAGTCCGTGAGCACTAATGGGCTGTTGCATAAATTTTCAACCAAAAGAACTCAAATTTATTGACGAATAAGTATAAAATTTTTCCTTCCAGGTTCCATCAGATATGTCATTTGAGATCCCGTCGGAGAGTATGTAAAGAAGCCGTTTCGTTATCTGTCAAATGTCTTTCAGTCGTCATTTCTTTCTTTTGTGATGATAAACGTTGCTGAACGAGTTTTTCCGATGCAGCATAACATTATAATCCGCGTGCCTGTCACCTGTCTATGACCAATGAGATCTATAATTACTTCCATGTTACTCTGTTTTACTCTGATCACGAGTCTTGACTATCGGGAGCAGTTATGGGTCCGAAATCTCCAACACACCACTTATCAGTACTTTCTCAACAACTATCAACGAATGAGGAATCTTTACCTTCTGAAACTGTTCGCCAGAAATAGAACTACGGTTAGTTATGGATTTTTACAAAATTTTACCGTTGATCAACTGCTAATGAACGCTTTCTGATTTCATCGATGCGTGTTGTTTTGACTGACGTGCGACCTACTGACAGCGTTGCTGGTCACTCGTTGACAACACTGGACAACGTACTTGATAACTACAGCTGAGAGTCTTCCTCATCTAAATTTCCACTTCATGCTAGCGGAACGGTCAAGAGACGTCGCCCTCCGTTTACAGATGAGAATAGCCTAACCATGCCGAGCCTTCGTATCTTCGGCCTTGGTTGGTTATTTGCCACTGGAAGGTCCCGAGTGAAAAAAAATATACCAACGTAAAACGATCATCACTGTCCACCTTATGCATTATGTATCTATTTAAACACTACCTTAAAAATATTTGGGGCATTTGGGGCCCTTCAAGGGACCCGAATGTTGCCAAAAGGATATTTTTAATTGAGCTTCATTTACGCGATGCTTGATAAAAATAGCATAACACAGGTGAGCAGGAAAGACAACATGACATTTCGAGAGGCTACTACAAGAACCTTTTGAAAGGAAATGACAGTTTGACTTCCAGACACCAATTTCGGCAGTTCCATTTGATGACAACGCCACGACTACGCACGAAAACGCCAAATATGTGAACCTAGCAGAGGTATTCTACCCTCCACGCNCTGTTGACGACGAAATTGGTCTGCCACTAAACCAACCACTCGATGGACAAAAGGTCTCCTTCAATCAATATTTCGGCCAACAATACGGAAGAAAATGATCTTATCCTCAATAAAATGTGTAATAAAACTCATGTCAGTCTGTTTACTACAATCTTCTGAGTGGAATCAATTTAAGCAACAAAAAGAAACCTCTGACGATACTGTGAAGCTGAAAGCGAGGGAAAAAGACAAACCATTCACTGAATTCTCAACAGTTCTCAACATCTGTCGTCATTCCGGCGATTAATAAAATTAGCCTGAAAAACCAAAACTGCCATTCCTGAGTGGTATTCCTTAAACCCTTTCCTTTGCCAAAACAATGTTTTTGCGGGCATGTTGTCCAAAGTCAGAATCTAAATATTACTGCTAAAAGTTACTTCAAGACGGAAAATGGAACACATGAGGGGTCCAAAAGAAACCTTCTGGCCTTCTCTTGCTAACATTACCAATTTGGTTGGTATTTTAGGAAAACATTTATCCATTTAACCATCAGTCTGATGCACAACAAACACTCATCGATCGCCAGCCTGACAACACCNACTTTCAGAAGCCTATGTCCATTTCCTTATTTAGAGAGAATGGTCATCGAAAAAACTTGTGCTCCCTTTAAATTACCACAGCCATATAAAATGCAGCTGCATGAGATAAGCTAGAAACTGTTTCGATCAAGTACAAAATCAAAGCTGTCTTCCACAAACAACAACCAACAATAAAAACACAGCAAAATGCCACGAATTTTGTTGGCTTCTTCATACAATTTCATTTAACGTTTAAGGGCACGCCAGCTTCAGAATGCATAGCCGATATAGCCTGCCAGGGGCCCTGGCAGAGCCATTCCATTCTAATAGGAAGAACAAAACCATCTGAGGGAGAATTCTGGGCGAATTTTCCCGACACCTTAAACCACTAGACCAGAATGCGTGCCAAGGAACCAAGCGAAAATGAAGGACCCGCCACAGCGCATAGATTGCGGTCTTACAACGAAAAAGCACCGTACTAACAGTTGCGTTTCCTAAATTCAGACTGCAGCCTCCGTCACTTACCTTTTTTTTNTTTTTTTTCCTAATTATGCAGAGCTCTGTTGCTACTATGTACTCCATTGTTTTGAAAAATGATAAGTTCGTCTGTTGAATGACCGCATGTGAAGAAATCGATGCTTTTTCATTGATTCTAGGAGGTGGCTGTTGTAATTGCATGTTTTCCGATGACTTTCCGTTTTATCGTGAATTATCCTGTTTTGTAGCTAAGAAAGCGTTGCGTGAATTTGAGGTTCTGTTTTTAATAAGGTTGTGAGTTAGTTGCATATTTGGTATTTGCGTTTAATTAGTTTAAATCCCGCAATGTCGTAGTTGAATCTCGTGGCAAGTCTTTTGCGATTTGCTCGTCTCAGGTTGTATTATGTATCAGCTTGAGGTATCATCTAAAAGATGGCTGATCGAGGACGATTCCGCGGTGGATTCGGAAGTGGTGCACCAGGCGGCCGTGGAGCAGGAGGTGAACGTGGACGAGGTGGACGTGGCGGTCGCGGCCGTGGTGGACGAGGACGAGGGTTAGTCCCGAATTCTTTGCTTATGGTTCAGTAATGTTTGGCGGATAGGAACCAGTTAGTGCCTGTGCGTTGATTGGGCCGAAAACCGCCAATATCATTTGTTCGCGATTAAGGTCGTATGTGCGTCTTTTTGAAGCATGTATATCACCATTGTGGACGACAGCTAAACATTTTGCTCACAGCTACACATTTCCCACACACCAACACACAACTTTTCTCACACAAAACATACAGCACAATTTTTCGTTTAGCTGCAAGACAAGTTTGCCTAGTTTCTGTTTCCTTTTTAGAGGTGGACGTGGAGGTGAGAAGGAATCTGAATGGGTACCTGTAACAAAGCTTGGACGTCTTGTAAAGGATGGAAAGATCACCACACTCGAGGAGATCTACCTCAACTCTCTTCCCATTAAGGTTGGTCGAGTAAAAGTTTCCTTTGCTATAAAGTGAGGCGGATAGGAACCAGGCAATATCTGTGTGCTGCTTGGGCCGAAGACCGCCGAAATCATAAAGATGTTTTAAAGGTCGTATGTGTTGCTTTTTGTAACATGTATATCACCAGAATATCTAACATTGAAGTTCTCGCTTTCATCAGCAGCTGTTGGCTCTGAATTCCGAATAAAAGCACTTACATTTTGTCCCATTGTAGGGCAAAGGATTTTCTATTAAACTCGTTCTCACATACCGATACATAGTCAAGATTTTCTTCCCAGATTGGGTCCTACAACGTTATAATCTGTTACGGTATGAAAGGGGTATATAGGTTGCAGCAAAGAGCTGGGCTCTTTTCTATACCGTCTTGTTCACAGTGATAATCAATTTTCGGTTCATTCTTCACTTTTGAAGCAATAATGGAATTTGATGTTCTTGCTACAGAACAGTATTTCAGGAGTACGAAATCATCGATACTCTGTGTTCCAAGCTCACTGATGAGGTGCTGAAGATTACTCCCGTTCAGAAACAGACCACGTTAGTTCAATCTCTATTTTTGCCAAATTCACTTTGATACTTTTCCACATTGAATTCATTACTTTTCAGCGCCGGTCAACGTACCCGTTTCAAGGCTTTCGTCGCCATCGGAGACCACAATGGCCATGTTGGTCTCGGAGTGAAGTGTTCAAAAGAAGTAGCCACTGCTATTCGTGGTGCCATCATTGCCGCCAAGCTTGCTGTCATCCCTGTACGACGAGGCTACTGGGGTAACAAAATCGGTCTCCCACACACTGTTCCCTGTAAAGTCACCGGCAAGTGTGCGTCCGTTATGGTACGGTTGGTACCCGCACCTCGTGGTACCGGAATTGTGTCGGCACCCGTTCCGAAGAAGCTTCTTCAAATGGCTGGAATCCAAGATTGTTACACGTCAGCCACAGGATCAACCGCCACCCTTGGAAACTTCGCAAAGGCCACTTACGCTGCCCTGCAACGTACCTACTCCTACCTCACCCCTGATTTGTGGAAGGAGGAAGCGCTGGACAAGACACCATATCAGCGATACCACGATTTCCTTGCTCGCAATTAATTTTGCGACGTTGTTTTGTGGCCACAGTTTGTGGTGCTGTTAAGAGTAAATATGGTTGTATCAATGAGTTTGTTACAAGGAATTCCCGGTTTAAGTAGTTCGTTGATTTTTGCATAAATGTAAATAGGGTAACGCATGTTTTTGTTTCTACAAAGCATGGTTGAACTTTGTCAATGAGCTTTTGTAATGGCAACACTTTGTCGTGCGACAGTGGGACCATTCGGAGTGCAATTTGTAAAAAGGTCTCTTGAGTCCATGTCTTTGTATTCGAAAACTCTGGAATCTGTGAACGCATGTGGGGAGCAGAAATTTCTCTTCAAAATTCAGTAGGCAATGATGGTGCAGTGGGATTTTACGTGAAGGAGAAATGCTAGCCTACCCCGGCGTGGTCCGTACGGCATGTTTAGCATTATGTATGACTTGCCTCCAACCCTTCAAGCAAAACATACCGCCGAAAGTGAAAGGAAGAAGTCTTGTTTGGTAAAGTTGTTACGTTACCCAGGGTGAGCTGCGAGAGACAAGCGATCCTAACTGCTCCCTTCTACTAACATATTCTCAAAAATTGCAAAAATTAAGTCTATTGTGCATTCTTTTCAACTTGAAATGGGGCGTTCCCAAACACACGAACTGAAGGAAACTTAGGAGACATGAAAGCTACTGTTCCAAAGAAAATGTGCAAGAGTGTAATCGGATCATTGTTGAAAAGCCAACCAACCAGAAGGATCCGAGGTCGATAAGGTAGTCATTTATAAAAAACATGATGAAGGGATTAGTATTAATCAATCCCGTCTTTGGAACGCGCCCTGCACTCGACTTCCGTTCAGAATCGTAGTGGCAATTTCAATGCGTACGTTACCTATGCAATGAGTTGCAGTGGTCAGCAACTGTACAAGTAAGAGTTTTGATCCTCCTATACGACTCTTGTACCAAGCAAGCGACCTCGAAGGCATAAAGGGATTGTTTGACAAAATATCGCCTGTCATCCGATACATAGACCCTGCATTTGTGATAGTGCGCCACTTGTCAAAATATCACCTCCGCTAAATGGGATAAATTACAATGTAGAATGATACGACACGTTTCTGATTAGTTTATCAATGGCTACTAAAAGCGATCTAAATAGAAAATTCAACGTTTCTACCAAATTATAACCAGGTTGTAGCCTAGGCTGGCAAGCGATGAAAAATCAAATGCCTATTTATAAGTGCTGTTTATGAAGTCGTTCTCATGCCAAATAAGGTTTACAAGGATTGCTCGCTAATTGTGCAAAGGCGGTCAGTCGTCAGAAATAAAAGCTAGGAAGCATTCCTCATGATGAGCAACTTACTTCGTTTTCAGTTTCCGGTTGACCTCACGAAATGTATTCCTACCTTGTGTGACAGTGATCTGAAGCAATACCATTTGGTAGATCCCAAGGAAAGAGACTCGAACAAACTTGAACAAAACTCGTACAGAGGACTAAAATCATACTTATACAATCCTAACCGACACTATAACACTTATTCTATACCGATATGACACCCTTCAGCTCTCGAATTTTATTATGGTTTTTTCCAGTAGTTCCTCTCCTTGGAATGACGCTCGATGATGTTGGTGACCAGAGGTTTTCGCGCTCCATTGAATATTCTCTGGTGCACCGCGTGCAGCGATGCGGTCCAGTGCATTATCACCGCGAGCGTTCAAATTTCGATTTCGGCGTCACTGATCCAATAACCCGTTTAGATTTGGTCATGCTATCTGACAATAAATACTTCATTTATATGTCTACTTCTCCTTCTACGTTAGATTAGTGAGCGGTCTCGTTGGATCTCTTTTTACGCATCTGCCAGTTGTTTTAAAGCTGTGAAAAGAAATATTTTGGTACTATCTCACCTTTTCCGCTTTTTTGTTGGTCATCAGCATGTAAAAGATCGGGATTTGATGGGAAGCTTGTAAAGCAGAACAAGACCATGTATTTCTCGCGAATATGTTGTGTTAAACGAACATGATTCTCCTGTGTTCATTTCTTTTCTCGGAAATCGAATGTGGTGTGACTCCTAAGTTTTGGAGTCAAGTTGCTGAAGAAACAACGACAAATTCAGTGTGTTGATAAAAAGAAAGTCAGTTATTTCAATCTTAGCGGAGCACAGGGATCTGTTNAAGTTTCAGGGCGTATGAAGTGGTCACGATCTTGCATTTCATTTAAACTGGGAGTTTAGATGTTTGAGATGCACTCGTACCTTTTATATTACTTCACAATGTAGAACCTCGAGATGTCTCTTTTCCAAAAAAAAAAACTTGAAATTCTGTGAGTTTGGAGAAAACGGCTTGCAAGCTTTCCACTAAGGTAAGACAGGGGATCATTCGCTTTTTGCTCTCTATGAGTATCATTATTTTGAAAAGAGCTGCCCACTTGCTTTTTTACCTCACATTTTTCCACTTTTGCGAACCAAACTTAGCCTACTACTAATCAATTTGTACTATTGATTAATTCTCTTCTAACACTGTCTTTCTTATCCGTTCAGGCATTGCGCGTCGAAATAAGTCTCCCCATCTGCTGAATTTGATTGATTCAGAACGACTATGGAAGACGCAGTGAATTCCATGACATACTCGAGTGATGAGTCTCGCAAAGTTATGCAGATTTACAGTGCTTTAACAACAGATAGAGAAGGATGTCTGTCCGTGTCTCTGAAGGGTGAAATACTGGAGGATTTTTATCACAATCTTTCGTATTCAAATTATAATTATTGTTTCAGAGATGCTAACAATACTTGAGCAAATGGAACGGTTACGTGTGGCATGGAAAGCAGCCGAAGAAAGAGCTAGTTATCAAGAGCAAATGAATGCGAAATCGTCATCTGAAATCGAGTAAGTTTCGCAAAGTTACAACTTCTCATTCGAGAGAATAACTGGCGTCAATGCTGTATACAATAGGATATGGTTTTAAGTAACAGTCTGAAGGAATTTAGAGGATGTAAGTTGCACGGTTAGTTGAATCGAGGTAAACATGAGAGTGTCCACTCATCTCCTCGTTTAGGCACTACTATCTGATGTAGATTGAGACAGTAACCATGCCCACTTTTTCATTACCTTTTTTGTCAATTGAAATTGGAAGTAAGGAGGAGTCTTCAGCTGTGTTCGCATTACAATAGGACTATCAGTGCTCCTTAGGCTGTTAAGTCTGGTTCGCGGTGCTTTTGATTGTATAAAACTCATGAAGCTGCAACGGCTGCAACAGCATCTCTTTCCCATTCCATCGTGAAAGAGGCATGTAGTTATAGAGCGCCGCGGATATGCGTCACTGCTTAATCACTACGAAGCAGGCAGAAATAGTTCGTATCAGTCGAATAACCAGTGCCCGTGTAACCGTTCAGAAGAAAGTCCTTGCTTTGATTTATCTCGTTATTAACCGCGGTTCGTTATACCTGTGATCTTGAATAGCCTTTGACAGGTCGCTGTCATCTCAGCTCCGGCGATGTAATGCTGAATTGGTTGACGCCCGTGCACAAATTAGGGCTCAATTGCAAGAAATTCATGCTATGCGAGCAGACCTGGACGAGACGGTTGATCGTTTAAAATTAGTGAAGGAGCTGTTAAAGGTATGATTTTGTAGTATAAAACTATGCTGAAAGAAAGATATGCCTAGAACATTACTGGCTACTTCTCTATGCCTTTACTCAGTAGTGAAGTATAGTATCGTTAATCAGTGCCAATTGCTATTAATTCGTTTCACGAACAAGTTTTCGTTGTTTTCAGTCAGACCTCGACAATCTTCCACCGGAAACTCGCAAACAACTTGCATTTCTTCGTAATCCTGATCTTGGAAGGGCGAATTCTAAGCAGGTGGCCAGAGAGCATTACATGGTGACAAATGCATATTTTCTCTTTTCTTCTGATGAACTAGTATATCCTTAATTCTCATAAGTGTCTTTTATAGGAAGGTGACACAGAAGAAACTATGGATTACGATTTGAGTAGTAATACATTAGATACACTTGATGACGTTGATGACGACGAACACGTAAGGTAAGCTTACCTTTATTCTCCGAGACGACATGCGCAGAAGCTATAAATAGCTTTTCAACAAGTTGATTAGCCACGTTGAATCGTTTTGGGTTTCTTCATCTCTAAATTTGTCCTGGACTTGGATTTGTTGGATTATACATGCTATTCCAAAAAATGCGCTCGTCTTTTGAGCGGCACAGATACAGTGAAAACTCTTTTCCCCAAAATGGATTACTGCGTGGCCGTTCAAACATTATTAGCTACTGTTGCAGGCGTGCCAGAAACCATTCTGTGGGTTTGCGAGGTCGTCGTTCCATATCGGGACATGCACATCCGGCAGGATCTTCTAAACGAAGAAGCAGCCTTGTGCGTGACACTGCGCCAGCAACTATCAGTGAAAACGACGAAACTGTGGGTGACTCATAATTTGTCAACGCTTACTGTCATCTCTACCAAAAGAAAATCTATTTGGTTGTTGTTCGTATCGTTTCTAAAAACGTTTCCAACAATATTCTGTGAAACTGAAATATTTTGTGGGTTTACAGCGTGATTCTCCGCTTCCTCCAAAGCGAATAAGGGATACTACCGAAGAAATCACAACCACAACTACCGTTACTGTCGATCCGAGTAGGCGTAAGCCCTCACAGGCTAAGGTCACGATTAGAAGAAGTATGAACAGGAGTATGTCGGCAAATGATCTGTTAGCAGGCCAGGTTGGTTTTTTACCATTGAAAAATTGCTTTCGAGCATTGATGACTGTTGGACACTACTACCCCTGATTGTGAAGAATTTCAGTATGCTTATGCTACACTGAGATATCATTTAAGTATTATTCTATTCATCATTACATGATCAAATAAGTATAAGAATATTTGATTCTTCAAGGAGTAGTGTTTTGTAGCACACCCTCTTAGGTTCTGTTGTTGCCTTGCTTGAGAAATTTAATGCGAGATCTTTTTGATGCTTCTGAAATCTCCCTCAAAGTGTTCGCGGATATATCGTAAGGTGTCTCGGTGTTAAGTGGTTCACATTTCTCAGAAGAGACGAAGGTATGACTGCCATGAGCGTCATCTGTATCTCTGCCATAGCTAGTCCAGAACTGGGTCGAGGTGTCACGCCATCAATCTTTTCTGGGCCACTCATGTGGGCTAGTTGATTGAGAAAAGCCTGCTCGATAGAAAGTCAGTGGGTAGAATACGCTTTCGAAAAGTTCCTATCCTTCTGATAAAGAATAAAATGATATCAGAATGGTATTGATCAAACCAGTGAATTTTCTTTCCTGTGTCCTGTTATAGGATTGTTCGATAATACTTTTAGTACAGTCTGTTACCTTCCTGGTCTTCAGTCTTTCATTGATTCAGGCAAAAACACCAGCCAGTGCTGCGAGGACTCCATTTGTTCCACGAACTGCTAGTACACTTGAATTGTGAGCTTAATTTTTGCTTCATCTACTACCTTGTGGTGACGTAGTGACAACATCCATAAGCTTTCGGTTGTTGGTATATCTTTAAGCAATTCGACACACTCATTATAAAGTCCAAGAAATGAAATGGAACGGGTATCATGCTATACCTGTCCCGGGATTTTTGTCTATCTTTGAGTGAACCTATTCAAGGCGATCGCAGAAACGTATCGGAAGTCGATCTTGGACTCATGGTATGCCGATTGCGACACGTCCTCATAATTTCCAAGCCCTCTCGACGTACTTCAAGGTTAGTTATTCGTAATCGTCACGACTGTTTTTGATACACAGAAAGACTTTATTAAGATCACCTCTTGCGATGTGTGCCATGGTGGAATTAACTTCGCTGCAAAGCCTGCATACAAGTGCCATGATTGCCTCCAACTTACTCATGTTTCTTGCTCATCGTGGGTGGTGTTCTTATCAGGGGTATCGTAAAATGGCGTGTTTGATTTAGAGGGTTATTTGCAGCCGTCTTCTTTTGCCATGTGTTCCTCGTACTGTTACTCTACCGCGCACTCCCAACAAACGCGGACAGCAGTTCTATAATCTACAGGTTGGTAGTTAAGTTGGTCAAAAGCCGACCAGTCAGGCATATTCAGGAGAAGGGCAGCTTTCGATCACTAACAAAATTTCTTAAGGACTTTTGCCCTCCGTTGCCACCTATGATCGCCTATCCCGTAATCTACTGCGTGGTGGATTTGGAGAATCGAGGACTCAGTCGAGAAGGATTATATCGTGTTCCAGGAAGAAAGGATCACGTGGGTTTTAGAGATTTCTAAGACCTCATTTTTACATTGTTATTTCGAGGCGTAACCTCTAATTGCTTTGTAAAAGCGATGCATGTGACGGACTCCTGCGTATAACATAAAAAAAATTTGAGTGCTTGTCTGCGAATGGCACGTGTGCGTTTACTTATTCAATGGAAAAACTGACGAAGCGCCAGCTGCGTGCCCTCTAACACGTACAGAACGGCAGAGAAAAGGCCGTGCCGTAAACACCAGGGTCTTTTCACTCGTCGTTACGATTTCGATATTGGTGGTGATTTATTACTCAGCATTAATATAACTTGTCGGCATTGATACTGATTTTATGCCTTCGAGTAGTCACCAAAAAAACAAACAAATAATGTACTCATATTGTGGCTCTTGAACCAGAGGATAGGCACCCGTGTGGCGGCTACTTCCAGAGAGTTGGATTCTAGTCTTTCACAGTCGCTCGAAAAAGATCAACGAGCAGAAAATACATATGTGTTGATCCGATTGAAATGTGGCATAGATTACACAAACTTGAAAAATGAGTACTCCACGTGAAACATAGAATGACGAAGCAGTAAATAGATCTCTAGTGTAGGCCAGAGCTAATCCCAAAGAAAGATGACAAGGTTGGCACTTCTACCAGCTTGATGATTCCACCGATGGGGTTCAAATGTACCGCCCCCATATTCGAAGGTCCATTCAAAAGCGGCATCTGGACATGACTAGATTTGTGGTCTTGCCTTGTCCTCTATATGCATCGGAGCATCGGATTCTGCTCCAGTGGGTTAGGATGACTGTTGGCCACTTTACTCTTATACCAACTGGGGTGGGCTGCTCCGCCCCAGTTGGTATAAGAGTAAAGTGGCCAACAGTCATCAAAGATCATCTGCTGAATTCATTCACAGAAATATGTGAGTAGTGTAGTCGGTAATGAACAAACAGTGTCGCCCTTGATTTTGTAATTATATCGGTCATAATGTGAGGCGCATACTCAATTGACACCGACGACACCAAGAACTTGATCCCCCTCCTGTTGGTCAATGATTTACTGACTGTCGTCCAGTAGGGTAGCGATGGGTTATAATATTGGACGAGTATAGTCATGAAAGTTTAAATTTAAGTGCGCCTAGCCATCGGTAGTGCTCAGTGATTTTTCATGTTGCGCGCGTTGTCATGCTATAGTCAAAGTACTGATATAGAAGAATTATATTCGAAAATAAATTGATCGCGACAGCTGAAGGCAATGCATCGCTTGATAAAACCAGCGGTAGTTTCTGAAGAGCTCGGGATGGATATTAGGTTTCTGTTCATTTGCTGCATTTCTTTTGGAAACCACAATGTGAGTACTTTGCAGGTACAAAGTGTCTTGAATGAGCTCCGTACATCTCGTGGCGTCCCTAAACTCGCCTTCCAAGATATTGAAGTGATTGCAGATGTCGTCAAGTCGTTTTTGCGAGAACTGAGAGTACGTGGGAGAATGTAGAAGACTAATTTTCGAAGAAAAAGTTTCCTGATTATAATTTTTTTCAGGATCCGCTCGTGCCAAAATCTTCCCGTGAAGAATTCATCCGTGCCGCGCAGACAGGCAACATTTTAGCCCTAAATGTTGCCATTTGTGATCTTCCTCAAACAAACAGAGACACCTTGTCATACCTCATGCTTCACTTGCAGAAAGTTAGTGTTCAGGAATTTCGTTAATTGTTACCTATTAGTAACGATTTTCGATTTTTAGGTAGAAGCATTGAAGGACGTGAACAAGATGTCTGCTGAGAACATTGCCCGTTGCTTGGCTATCCCAATCATGGGACAAACAGCATATCCTCGCGGCGATATACACGTGGCATCGAGCGATGCGCGTGAGAAAGAGCGCTCTGTATTGCAGATGTTGAAGATGCCCTCGGTTAGTTTATATTCATTCTCTCAGGCACTGGCTGATTTTAGATGCTTTTCCAAGTAATTGCTTCGAATCCTTCTATATTTGTAAGCTACCATAGACGTTGAGTACCCATGACCAATTTCACATTTATTGCGTCTGTGGCTAATGCGGTTGCTAGGAGCGGTTGGGAATAAATCGAAGTACAATGCAATAGAGAGCTGTTTTATTGGAAAAGTAGTATTATCAATCAGTAGGAGTAAGTGAAAAAGTGACATATAACGAAAGTGTCATTTGTTTTTTTTTTTTGTTGTAAAGATATAGACAATTGCGAGCGCTGAAATGGTTCAATATTTGTAGTTTGGGTATGACGTGATTAGGAATATACTGCAATGTAAATTTTATTGAACTCGTGGGCTTTTAAATTTTTTTGGCTCATAGCTTCCTCTTACTCCTTGAGGCAAATAGATTTTGTAGCCAAAGCGATCTCAAGGTAGCAAGCGAGTAGGACAACTCTAGTATTAAAAATCATTTCTTTTGCACTGTTATCATTCAATAACTATCGAGCGAAAGGGAGGGAGGAAACGGGTAAAAATGATCAAGTCCTCTCACTTTCTTATAGAATGTGGTACTGAGCTTCTCACCTTTTTTAATTTTGCCTTTCCCATTCATAATATCGTAGTTTTCTGCTCAAAGCAACATGTTTCCACTCCGAATGATATTACTGACTTCAGTTCCGAAAAGTTTCTCAGTCACTGTTTCAAAATAGTTTTTTTTTTTTAGGAATATTGGCTTCAATTCCTCAATCCGGAATCGTCAAGTCAAGAGGCAGCCGGTTATGGTGTCACTCCAGCATCCGCACCTCCCTATGAGGAAATTAGCCGAGTTCCCGCATCAGCACCGCCCTACGAGTCGTGTCCAGATCAAAGTATGCTTGGTCCGCTCACAAAGTCTCCCACTTCACACCTTTTGCGACCTATTCCGAAGCGACCTAAAAAGTTCTTCGATAGTCCCAAATATGATAATATGTAATCGTAAAATGATACACATACGGAATAGTTATCTGAGATCTGTTAATACTTTTCATGTTTGTAACTAAATGTGGCTCCAGGTTAATTGTTCGTACATCTGGGGTAGATATTTCAGGCATATCATGGGGTCGTTTTATGGGGGTCAACTGTTGGTTTTCATCTTAGACGTCATCTAATGGAGACCATTTTGGTACATGTCAGAAGAGGGTTATGAGGTGATGTTGATGCTGCTAGCGTGTCTACCGTTAGTAAAAAATGTCTGGAATTGGCCGGCTGAGTGTGCTACGTGAGTAGTTCACGTGTACTTCAAGAATAAAAAGTGGACCGGTTAGTCATCTGGGGGAAGACGTCTCAGCGTCGCGCAGTCTAGGAGGCATTGTTCGTGAAGATGGCTGCGCTGTTCCCAATCTTATGCGTTCTGGCAAATCTACCCCAGATGTAAGTTGAACACATGTTTTGCTATTTTCTTTGCTTTATTTGGACCTCGTACTTCTACTCGCTTTTTTGCGTAATGAAAAATCGTTGATCTGACTAAATTCACTCTATTTATTGAGTTTATCTATTGGAGATTTTATTCTCTTTGTACCAGTAATATACGAAGAAGCTCATTATGCTCTTGCCTTATCAGCTCCATGTAAACGTTGCAGGTGGCAACGATAGGGTAAGGGCCGCATGGTGTTTGGCGGTGATCTGTCTCGCTGCTTAACATCAGTGTTCCCTGATCTTTTCCTTAAGTATTTGTGGACATATTCTCTGTTTATTTAAGTATTTTCTGGTGGTGAAATGTCTGTGCTAATATTTACTAATAATTGACACCATAGTATTAGTATATCTGTACAAATTCCATTATACCTGTAATCAACAGACATAATAAATTTCACTGCAGGTTACATCGCGAAAGGTTTCAAGTCGGCTTGGTTTATAAATGAAATTGTAAAGTCACATTTTCGGGGTAATTGCTTAGCCGCCCTACAGACAGACAGGCAGACAGGTGTTCTCGCTGTAACTTTCAAGGTCGTTATGGTCTAATGATAACGGTGTCATTGCTTGAGAAGAAAACGGTTTCGAAATAATAAACTTTTTAAAAATAATTTCTATACTTAGGCTTTTTTAAATGGAATAAACAAAGGTACATCTGAGGAGTATTGTGATTTCATTGGAATTTAGAAGCGAACTTTAAGTCCCAAGGGGGTTGTCACCGTAGAAAGCTTCCCTTACCCTACTGTAGTTCTTCGTGGCGGCTTAGAACTGGTCCCGATGTTTGCTCCTGTCTAAATGATAAAGTTTTTTTGAAGCTTGGGTTTTTCACTGTTTTGAAGCCCTCGCCCCTCCCAAGCTATTGGTTTCTATGTATGTGTACTTGATTTAAATTTGATACGTCCCACGTGGGATAATGCCTCACAGGCCGTGGACAAACAAATGGTCGGTCTGGAGTAGTAAGAGCGTCATGTGATAAACAAATGCCGACAGAAGTACTGGAAAGTCATTGCGATTCTCAAAAACTGGTGCTTTGAGGATTATCCTCTAGTGTTAAACTGTTTTCTACGACTTTTCGATTGGGGTTTGTCTAAAACGACCATGGCCATCTGAACCGCTTCAATATGAGCGGATCTGGGCTTGACCAGGCTGCCGCTCAGCGAGACAACTAGCTAGGAGTCCGCGCAGTTGTGGTATAATGTCACACAGTTATAATTCTGTTCAGTGACTGTTTGTACGGCACTTAAAGTTTATTGGAATTTTAATGTCGTCGAAGAATCAATCCCTCTCACCTGACACCTAGGTACAGGTCAATGAATTTGAAATTAGCTGAGTGTCAACTGATATCACTCGCCTACAGCGCAAACCAGTTTTCATTTAGTTTTTGTTCCAGTAAGGTTGTTTTATGGAAAAGTTATAGGCGAATTATTGATGGGTTGGGTTTACTGTTCCAACAATGTGGTTAGGCCGGGTTTTTTGATGGCCGGAAGAGCTAGACAGTGGGCTCACCCATCG